CCTCCTGCAATCTAAAAACAACAGGGATTTTCTTTTCTGTACAGGCAGCTATGAGGTTATCAGGAAGTAACTGTCCATCTGAAAGGAATTCGTCATCTTTTCCTTGATCAATCAGTATGTCCAGCTGAGAACCTGGATAGGACTTCACAAGATGGGTAGCATCATAAGCCTGTTTAAAAAAAAAAAAAAACAGAAAAGTTAATTTACAAGTGCCCAGAAAGGTATTCTTCAGAATATACTATACTAGAACCAAACAGAAATTTAAAGTTACTTAAACTGCAAGGCTGATTAAATCGGAAGTACACTTCTAAGTTGGCTTAAAATCTGACTTGCCTAGTTTTTATTTATAAGGTCTTCAGAATTCTATTTCCCAATTAAAGCCTCTAGCCCCACTCAAGCTGTCCTAGACCAAGAATCCTGTATCTCAAGCATTCTTGATAATGTAGCCTCTTTTCCTCTAAACCTTTAATGTTCTTTTTCAAAAAATAACTTATTTTTGTTGTTGAGAATATATACAGCAGAACATACACCAATTCAACAATTTCTGCATGTACAATTCAGTAACACTGATTACATTCTTTGAGTTGTGCAACCATTCTTGCCCTCCTTTTCTGAGTTGTTCCTCTCACATTAACATAAATTCACTGTCCCCTAAGTTTCCTATCTAATCTTTTGAGTTGCTGTCATCAATTTGATTCCATATAAATAGTTCTTAAAAGAGCACAATGCTCAAGGCAGACATTCTTTACTAATTAAGCTAACCTATTGTTTGGTTTTAAGAAGACTTCAGGGGATAGCTTTGGTTTAAGGCTTAAAGATTATCTCAGGGCAATAGTTTTGGGGGTTTATCCAGCATGCATGGCTCCAGAAAAGTCTGGATTCCATGAAAATCTGAATTCTGTTATGCATTTCCCCCCTTCTGATCAGGATTTCTTCTACAGAATCTTTGATTAAAATGTTCAGTAATGGAGTTTCCTGAACTCAACCAAACACTTCAAGGGACAGAGTGGCAGGGGCAGGGGTCTGAGGACCATGGTTTCAGGGGACATCTAGGTCAACTGGCGTAACAAAGTTTATTAAGAAAATGTTCTGCATCCCATTTTGGTGAGTGGCATCTGGGTCTTAAGAGCTAGCAAGCGGCCATCTAAGATGCATCAATTGGTCCCAACCACCTGGAGCAAAGGAGAATGAAGAACACCAAAGACACAAGGAAAATATTAGCCCAAGAGACAGAAGGGGCCACATAAACCAGAGACTCCATCAGCCTGAGACCAGAAGAACTAGATGGTGCCCAGCTACCACCAATGACCGCCCTGACAGGGAACACGACAGGCTCCCTGACAGAGCAGGAAAAACGTGGGGCGCAGAACTCAAATTCTAGTAAAAAGACCAAACTTGATGGTCTGACTGAGACCGGAGGGAGCCCAGAAGACATGGCCCCTGGACTCTCTGCTAGCCCAGAACTGAAACCATTCCCAAAGCCAACTCTTCAGACAAAGGTTAGACTGGACTATATGACATAAAATGGTACTTGTGAAGAGAGTGCTTCTTAGCTCAAGTAGATACATGAGACTAAATGGGCAGCTTCTGTCTGGAGGCAGGATGAGAAGGCAAAAAGGGACAAGAGCTGGTTGAATGGACACGGGAAATCCAAGGTGGAAAAGAGGAGTGTGCTCTCACATCACAGGGAGAGCAACTAAGGTCATATAACAATATGTGTATACATTTTTGTATGAGAAACTAACTTGAACTGTAAACTTTCACTTAAAGCACCAAAAAAAAAAAAAAGTTCAGTAATGGTAGCTGGGCACATCCAGTTCCTCTGGTCTCATGGCAAAGGAGGGAAACCTTTAATGTTCTTAATCACCTCTTAACTCCAATAAAAACAGGTGATTTTTTTCTTTCTAAATTTCTCCACAAATTGACTATTCCTTCTAAACTTGTTATCTTTTTTCATTTCCAAATATTCTGCATTTCAGAAAATAATCTTTTTTTTTTTTGTCTCCTCTCTGGCTCTAGTTCTAGACATAACATTCAGTCCTCTCTTTTGCTATCCATTGAACAGCACCAAACTTCTGCCATTTCCATGAGCTCTCAGAAAGACCTGACTTGAATAATCTGAATCATATCAACAACTCAACTGTATTATCTGAGGAGGTGCCACTAGATACAACTGTATAGTTTACCATCCACATTTAAATATTCTTGATTATTGATGCACATTCACTAACTGCAACTTTTATGCATTGACCAAGACAAAGAAAAACCAGAAAATTTCCCCTTCCAAGTATCATGCTTTTTAAGATTTACTTTCTTTTAATCTCAGAAGGAGAGAGTGGGAGGTGACTTATAAAGCCAGGCTATTTCTAAGTTCTAGCATGGCCTCTTTAACCCAATAGTAAATTAAATAATCGCCTAAACATGTGTAATTAAGACAGTAAAACCTGCTGTCACTTGAAAACAAATTATATAATTAGATTCTTTGCTAGGTCTTCTGTGCCTCTACCTCTTCCCCCCTCTACCACAATCCTTCATCTCACTCCTCTATTAGATCATAAACCCCCGTGGGTGGGAAAGACTTGGCACATCTTCTTGACAAAAGAGCTCAGATTCAGAACTGAAGACTCAAAACACTGATGAACACTGTCGCTTCCCAAAGGGCACCTAATCCTAGTCATTTTCACCACTCTTCCAATATAATAAAAATCAAAGCCCAAACAAAACAAACTCTAATCTAGTGACTAAATAATCAGCCTTCCAATTTGTTAGAATTACAATGATCATCTTTCAATAAAATACGGATCCCTGCAAATGACCCTGAACACACAACTATAATATAAATATTTTAAAACTAAGAAGTTGTTTTTCTCCCCCACTTTATGCTTGTTAACATGCACATGATGGTGAGTTCATTTGCAAAACATACAAACTTTCAGTGGAGTTTGTAAATGGCCCGTTACTATACAAGAGCAAAACGTCTCCCAGAGAAAAGGCCATTTTTATTTCCATTTTGAAGCACCTACTGTCATGCTTAAAAAAGCAATCCTGTCATTGGGAATATTCACATACATTATACAATATCGATTTTTAAGATTTTTAAGCCTGGAAGTTAAAATATGAACCTGAGAGATGTTGGATTTTCAAACAGACATCAAATAATAAAAATGCCAGGCCTTTTGGTTGCTATTGTATAACTCAGGATATAGTTAGTAAGAGGCAAGCCTAAATTTAATAATATTGTGGTATTTTTTGGTAATGTTAATTTATAAGTAAAAAGATAAATTAACCATTAGCAGGAAAATAACAACAAGAAAAAAACCCAAAAACTTAGCATTACAACATCTGCCATAATTCAATACAATTAGAAAATAGGTTTTTTTTCTTTTTTGGTTTTATGTACACACTTTTGCTAATTATTCTTAGTTCTGAAGCCTCAATTTCAGTGGGCTAGGAATATAACGTTTGTGGTGCTTATAGCTTTTTGACAAATTTGAAAACAAATCTGAGTATTAAGATAGCCACCTACTACTCACCTTCCATTTACTTTGATCCGATCCGAGATATCCACTAAAGGCTTTTTTGCCCCAGTTACAGAGCACTGGGTTGCAAACTGGAGCAAATGCTGAAACTGACTTCAGAAACAAAGGGAATTTAAAAACAAGTTATATTTTGCTAAATCAAATATGAACAGATATTTACAGCATGCTTAAAAACTCAGATGTTACTTGCAATTTGCTGAAAAACTCTAAGAAACTAAGGCAGTTAGTTATTCAAGCTTAGCTCATTAAAACAAAAAATGTAAAGCTATAAAGTGTCAACTAAATGAAGGGGAAAGGCTAAGAGTGATATATTTCAATTTGCATCGGAGGTATTAAGATAAAGAATTCTTAAACTTTTACAAACCATGAATATCTTTTTCTACTTTAGAAAATCAAATTTATGAAGATACAAATAAATGATACTACCATAATAACGCTAATCAATAGCCTTTAGAAAAAAAGAGTGCCTTCAAAAGAGAAGGAATGAAAATAGAAGCTACATTTTGTAATACTTCTAGTTGACAACAATGAACCACTGTGACGGAGTTTCAATACTTCTGATTTTGCAGCATATACTGTGCTATCAAAGTCGACACTTCACCCTCTCAAATTCTCAACAGTAGTTCAGTCCTGACGCTAAAAAACAATATTCTATTTTCAATCTCTGAAAGATGCTAATGCAGTGAAACCTGTGAGAGCCACAACTCAATGCGAATGCCTTGTTTTTCTGGGTCTCGCAAGCCTTCTGCCTTTTACTGGGTGCAGTCTTACCACTTTTCTATCGCTTGTTTTAGTGGGAAACGTTCTCTGACAGGTTTCCACCTTACACAGGTTCTGGCTTTTGCAGGTTTTACTGTATTACATTATGCAAAGAAACACTTATTCCTAGAAGTTTAGGTAATCTTACTTTGTATTTTCCAGGATTCTTCAAAGCACAAATCAGCGCTCCATGACCTCCCATGGAATGGCCGAAAACAGACATTCTTTGGGGGTCCACTGGAAAACTGGCATTTATGAGTTGAGGAAGCTAGAAAGAATTTTAAAAGTGTGACAAAATATATGAGACAAATGAGTTTAGAATTTTTCAAAGTTATAAAATAATTGTACAGCCAACAATTCCAAATCATATTCTTAAAATGGTTTGAACTAGTATAGTAAAGGTTATAAAAAAAAAAAAAGCCCTCAAGTAGACAGTCGTTATTAATACATCACTGGAGAACATGGTACAACCTCCTTAGAAAGTAACCTCAGGAAGACGAAGCAGAAACTTTAAAATGTTCTACACTTTTGACCTACTAATTTCACTTTGGAGAGGGAAGAGTCCTTAGGGAGAAAAATTGTACACAAAGATAGTCAATGCAATAATATTACAGTAAAAATATATGTAAAAATAGAAATTAGAAAAAAGTAAATTATGGCATATGACAGAATATTAGGCAACAATTAAAATTATATTTACAAACAGGTTAGAATAATATTGGAAATATATATATTTTATATAACTAAAAGAAGAACAGGATTAAAAAAATAGTTTTACAATTATGTGAAAACTAATCACAAAAAACTCTGGAATATATCAAGCATAATAATAGTTGTTTGAGGTAAGGAAATTATGGGTGATTAAAATTTTATATTGTTCCTGAATTTTTATGATGTACATATTAACAATTAAAATCATATAACACTTAGAAAAATGCATAAATATTACTAATAAAAGAAATGTTTTACTATTTATCCCTCCTAACTATAGTGACAAACTATAAAACAGATACCTCAATGAACCAGCTACCAGGGAAATAACAGGCTTCCTCCTATACTATTTTCTTTAGGTTAATCAGTAGTGCACACAGGTCTCAATATAATTATAAACTCTTTAAAATTGTACTTAGCATTAATTTAAATTGTAATAAATACGAGCAGAATACTAGCAAACTTTGGAATTTTCACTAAGATCATTAATAAATAAGAAGTAAATAGATTCAACAATACCATACCCTAGTTTAAAATTCTCAGGACTAGTAGGACTTTGTGTCCAAAATCAAACTCTTAGAAGTCGTCAGTTAATAATTACAATGCAAACGAAGCTACCTCTTGTGTTACATAAGAGTACATTCTGTAGTTGGTTTTCCAAGGCTCTTCAGTGGCATCCACATAAAACCCAGCACCAGTGCCAAAGTCCCAGCTCTCATCTTCTCCTTTAATGTTGCAGCCACCTATCAGGACAAACCTTGTGATTTCATCATCTACTCAGTAGTAATGGCTCATGCTTAATAATAAACTTTTAAATGAATCTGCAAGTCCACTGTTGGCATTAGAGCTGTTCACCAAATATTGTGGGCTCTCACTTATAAAAGAGTTTGGCGGCACATGGTAGGATTAGACTTCCTGGCCCTCTTGTCTTTGAATGGAGTCATGTGACTGGTTCTGGCCAAAGAGGTGGGAGGGAATGACCTTCCAGGCTGAAGCACTTAATTGCCAAGGCAAGGCACACTGTTTTTTTTTTTTTTTTTATTATTGTACTTTAGATGAAGGTTTACAGCAAACTAGCTTCTCATTAAACAGTAAACATATTGTTTTGCAACATTGGTTACCAACTCCACACGTCAACACTCTCCCTTCTCGACCTTGGGTTCCCAATCACCAGCTTTCCTGTGCCCACCTGCCTTCCAGTCCTTGCCCATGGGCTGGTGAAGGCATACTGGTTTTCTTTGTCGATGAGGTCCCCTCCTATGTATTCTGGACAGCCATGTTTCCTCACTTTGTTTTACCTGTCAAAGGGCTTTCCACTCTCTTTTTATCTTTCAGAAATGTGCTGCCATCTCTTCCCTGATGACCATCCCATCTACCAACACTTCTGTAATCCTCTTTATCCTTGTGGTCTTAGAAGGGAATGGAAGCGCATACTTGTGCTCAGGTCATTACCCTGAACTGAAAACGGCTCATTTACTGCAGTATCATTCCACTATGTTTCCCCTCTTTAACCACTCTGCACTGGGACTTTTTTTGTATTTTTTTAATTTATTAGATTTAATTTTATATTCATGCACATGGAGTTAAAAAACCAATCACTGGGATTCTGAATGGAACTATATGTAGAGTAATTTTAGGGGAACAACCTCTTTACAACGTAGAATCTTCATTTATGACTTTTAACAAAATTTTGCAGTTTTCTTAGCATAGGTCTACATACTTTTAAAGTTTATTCCTAGGTATTTTATATTTTTGATGCTATTCTGAGTTGACTCTTTTGTTATATTTCTAGCCAGACATGTGGTTGTCTTGTTTTCGTATAATAGGGCCTGTGAAAGGGAATGCACTACTTTCCAAGGCCTTTCATTAATTTCAATGTAGGTTCTTAGCTGCCAAAAAGTTCTTAATATTGAATCAAAATCTGTCCCCTTTTAAGTTCTATTTGCTGACACTTCTAGGGACTTTCAGGGCCACAAAACAAGTTTTACCTTTCTGGCAGACTGGATTGGATTACCAAATATTTGATACTGTCATTCTCTAATGTAAACATTTTAATCATTTATATTAAACCTACTACTTGTTTAACTGTATGGTTGTCTGATGGTCAAGAGAGATCAGAAAAGCCATAACATTTCATGTGACAAGATAATATTACCTATGAAATAAGAGAAAATAATTTCCTATGTGTCAGATACTATTATTCTGACACCAGTGCCAATATATTCGTCAAGTTGCTCAATCTCTTTGTATTTCAGTATTTTAATCTGAAAAATGGGAATAGCAAAACTGTTCTCTCTCACAGAGCAATGTAATGAATAAAACTCACAGTGAGAAAAATGTATAGGATGATATTTTAGAGTCATGATACCACTTAAAAGATTCATAGATGTAACAGCAAAAAGATGAAACGCATAATGTATACATCACTTAGAACTTAGTCTTAAAGATTTAGATTGCTACAAAGGATTTTTGGAACAAGAACACTTACGAGGGCTGGTATCAGGAGCAACGACGACAAGGCCATGTTCTGAGGCTGCTTGATGATAACCAGATTTTGATATAAAATTTTGTTCTGTGCAAGTTAAGCCTGAAGATCAAAAATATTGTTATCTCATGCTATACTGCAAATGGTTTATAAGCTTTAATCATTTCATAACACAGGAAAACAAACTCACTTGGTAATATTTAATTTTTTTTGCTTTGGAAGTAATTCTGAATGAGATGCTAAAGTTCTCTTTCACATACAGTATCTGATAGTATCAACCTAAGTCTGTCTTAGGTTAAATGCTCTTGTAGCTGTCCTCTGTAAATCCCTTACTAAAGGTTCCATTACTAAAACCCTTGGGGCTAGAGGAGTTTGGGAATTCAGAACTTTCCAGACTATAGAATGGCAATATGATACCATATTATTTAACCCCAGTGGCGTGTTATCAAATGTTATTATTTATGCATCAAAACATAAATATTCACAATGAGATAATACTATGACAATCTAACACAAAGAACTTAGTATTTTTTATATACATGTAGTTTTCAGCAACAAAATCCAGCCTAATCATCTGTGTGTTCCTCACTGAATTATGGGAGTAAAACTGGGTATTATGCCTTCCTTAAACCAAGCAGTCTGAGCCCCAGTTTTTAGAACTGTTTCTGCTATTTTTCCTAGCTCTATGCTTTTCAGTCATATGACTGAGAAGATGACTTAATTCTCCTATTACAGGAGCCTAATACTATAGTGAAGGGAGAAGAGCCAAAAGTGAACTGGCAATAGATGCTTGAGCTAAACACCACCTAACCCTACAGCCTTTTTCCAGATACAATTCCACTATAGTTGATAATGAGCAAAACTAAATCCTACAGATATGCTGATGAAATATGATTACAGAACACCTCTATAGTTTCATGTATGCGCTATCCCATAATAATGAGTGGGAAGACTTATGAAGTGACTGCTCAATATACATTTGTTAAATTAATAACTGACTACAAGATACAAAGTTACAAGTGTCACTGGATGAAGTGTTGGAGGAGTTTAGGTTAAACGAACTGCTAGGACATAGGCTTTCACTAGTCATGGCAAGCAAACAAGGCCCTTGCTTGCCTACTATGTTCCCCCTCAGTGCATTTCTGAGCTAGCCCAGTCATATCACGGTAGGGAACTGCCCCAAACACTTACCAAAGGCCAGCAATTCTGCTGATCTTAAACAGGTCCAGAGAAGGCAGGGCAATAGTGTAAAAAGTGTAGGCTTTGGATTTCAGACAGGATCTGGCTAAATGCCCCTCAGTCACTCACTAGCTAATCAACACTGGGCAAGTAACTTGAATATTCTGAGCCTCAGTTCCTTCATTTGAAAAATGAGACTATTACCACTCGATGGCCACTAACAACAGCATACCTAACAAAATGCTGGTATATACCTAATGCAGGGCTGATTTGATGGTCACCTTGACTTGGGGAAGATGCAAATCACTACATTTAGGTATCTTTTAGGATTTTAGTTTGGGTGTTTATTTTACCTCCAGCTAATTTATCAATTTTAGCAATATAACAATTGCCCTCATCTTTCTGTCACTGTTTTCCTTCAACTCACTAGGAAGTAAATCTAAAATTCTTTTGTCATCATTTTCAAGTGCACTGGTTTGGCAATCTTACCTTTTTTTTTTCCTTTCAGAAAATCAAGCCTTAACTTCCAAGGTCTATCTGTTTGTCACCATCTCAACTAAGGAAACTGTCCTGTCATTTGATGTAAACAAACAAGAAGTTCTATTTTTTATGCTCATATAGCTCAGATGGTATCTTTTGATAGATTTCAATTTTGTTTAGGAATTTAGGGCCCTATTATTATGTTACCTGGTTATTACACAACACACTGGACTTCTGGTCTGGGTTATTACTCTTGTAAACAAGAGACATGACTAGTAGATCTCATCAGAAACAAAATGAAAAAAAAAAAGAACAAGCAAAAAGGATGAACACAGCTCTGTACCATGAGTCAGAAAATTTGTTCAACCTCACTGTTATATGACTTTGGGCAGTATTTAACCTCTCTGGGCTCAGTTTTCTATTCTATGGATTCGTAATTTCTAAGATCATCTGTAGCTATACAATATTATGTCTTCTAAAACAAACATTTAATTGTGGTGCTGCTGCCTTTGTCAATACCTGATACTCTTCAAGCAAAACTGGTGTTCTACATTCGATCACAGAAATACTCTGTTGAGTTAAAACCAGATATGCACTTAGTTTTTACCTTTTAAAATGAAATAATCTATTCTCATTTTCAAAGACTGGCATTTAGGACTTATCCTTGATGAAACACATGTAAGAAAGGATTTATTAAATCAAAGCTACAAGAACCAGTTTTAAGGAAATAAAATTAAAATAGCACACCATGACATCATTTGGTTTCTATGATTCTCTCTTTTTAATAATGTTTGAGTCTAAAAATGAAGTACCACATCTTGTGAAAGAAAATTAACAGAGGTTTAAAACTACTGGTGGAAAAACCTTCTACTCTCACAATCCCTTCTACGGTCTTTATTATTAACCACCGATTATTAGTGGTCCTTTGTGACTTTCCAGACTGCTGCCAGAGAAGCTCTACAGAGTCCAATGAAAACAGTCCAAAGAACACTGTAAGAAGCTGCACCTGTGGTTTCTAATTAGGGTATCACGGTATTCTGGTTTTGCCTAGTATTATTCTATTTGACTGGTAATGTCTCTACAAACTCCAGAAATGCTTGGATAGGTACAAATTAAGCCAACTTTTCAGATCCCTTGCCATGGAACCCAGAACTTCACATTTTCTGCTATATTACTTGGTCTAAGTGAAACAGAAGTCAGATAAACGTAATTCAGTAGGTCTGAATTTATTCTCAGGTTAAAGAAGAGTAGACTATGACAGGCTCCTAGAGTCTATTATAAATGGCTCAGAAAGCACACCAAAAAGTCAAGATAAAAGAGTAAGTTAAGCTAGCTAAAACAACAAAGAAAACTCCTTTATAAAACTCAGATGCAGAGCACTTACCAGACAGCCAATAGAGTGCGGGGCATTTTGCAGTTTCTGCCTTTGGGGGTAAATAGATAGCAAATTTCATTTTGCACTTTAGTTCAACACTGTAATTTTAACAAACAACAAAAATCAATACACCTCCTTCGTCAAGACGGATACATAAAATAATTAAACACTATGGAAAAAGTAAGATACTTTATAAAGGCCCAAAATAAGTGCTTTAATGCCCAAATAAGTGATTCCACCAGCATTTAAGGAATATACATCGACCCTTAAAGGAATAAGGAGGTCAGTTTAAAGCATACTGACCTATCAACCAACCTGAGCCTATGCTTTGCATGGGACATAAAGTCACTCTGGGTAGAACAAAAAAATTATATACGTGTGTGTGTGTATATATATATATCCTTAATGTAGCACTCTGAAATAACGTTATTTTACAAAAAAAGAATTCTAAAGATGTTAAATTACATGCTTGCTCACAGGCAGTAAAATGCACATCTTTAATTTGCTCTCTATCACTAGTATTTTATCACAATCACTAATATCACAACTAGATAAGATCATTTGGATAAAAGACACAGGTATTTTTCCATGTACACAGTCATTAATGCAACAATTATCTCTCATGGGTTTCTTAAAGAATTGTATAGATGGAAGTCAACTTTTCCTATTTCAGAATCAACAGCTCTTTTTGTAACTTATGCAAGCACACAGTTTCAACAGTAACTACATATTGTAAATGTCCATTTCCCCCACCCTGCAACCTTCTCATTTGCCACATCCCAGAGATAACCACTTCAACTCTTTAAGCTGATTCTTTTGGTATATAAAACCAGTTGTCTTTGAGTTAACTCTGACCCATGGTGACCCCATATGTGTCAGAGTAGAACTGTGCTCCATAGGGTTTTCAAAGGCTGCTTTTTGGAATTAGGTCACCAGGCTTTTCTTCCAAGGTACCTCTGAGTGGATTTCAACCTCCAACCGTTTGGTTAGCAGTTGAGCATGTTAACTGTTTACACAACCCAGGGACTTCTATCTCTAAACAACGTGCCTTTACTGCTATTTCTTGATTTTTTCAGTTTCAGTTATTATCTACTGACTTCACATTACAGAAGATAAGATTTTAGTGAACTTTCACTCCCCCTTTGCTCTCTGGACCCCTCCTACACTTTTTCTTCTCCCATCCTCTCAATATATAATTTTAATTGATCAGTTCTCAGAATTTACAAATGCTTTCGGAGATGAGCCATGTAATATACTATGATTACTTTTCTTTTTCAGTTTTCCTTGAGTTAATAATTGTCTCTTTGTTACTTGGCTTTGCTTACTTTTTAGGTACAGACTTCCCATAAAGGCCCCATCCATGTTAATTCAAAGTTTTCTATATGCTCCCTTCCATTCTCTGCACAAATTTTATTGTATTTTTCCACATCACTTTGAACATCTTCCTTGTTGACAGTTGAGTCATAAAATTTTTCCAATAGCTGTTTTTAGGTCTTCAACTGTTATTAGGAGAGTTGAGACATCTTCTTTCATGATATACCATATCACAGCCATGGTATTTGTTATCAATATAATTACCAACTTGGGATATTTGTTACTAATGTGTAATCACTAACTGGGAGAGTATAATCTTGTTACAGGACAGCCATAATACCTTTCTCAAGCAGTTGTGAAAAAAATTAGGTCTGAAGCACATTCAAACAAGCAGTATGATTAATACTTGGATAAACGAGAAAAAGATGGCATTTATCAAGTAATCTTCTGAAACCTCTGCCCAAATCACATCATGAGGATGCAGCTCAATTACCAAATGAATACAATGCAGAGAGATTTGCTGGGGGCACTCTGCATTTAGTACTTGTCACTAATCTAGTCCCAAACTCTCCCCCATTAAGTTTCCTCTCAATACAGTCAACTTTATCAACTGCATCTTCTTAAATTTCTATGATGATGGAAATGTTCCATGTTGCATTGTCCCCTACAGCAGCCTCTGGTCCTACGTAGCTACTGAGCACTTGAAATGTGATTAGTACGACTGAGGGACTGAAGTTTTAATATTATTTCATTAATTTAATTGAAACAGCCACGTATAACTACTGGCTACTCTACCTCTATCATTGCTAATGTCACATGGATCCTGGCTGAAAGCAGAGAATACCAGAAAGATGTTCACCTGTGTTTTACCAACGACGCAAAGGTGTGTTACTGTGTGGATCATAACAAATTATGGATAACACTGTGAAGAATGGGAATTCCAGAACACTTAATTGTGCTCGTGAGGAACCTGTACATAGATCAAGAGGCAGTCGTTCCAACAGAGCAAGGGGATACTGCATGTGTTACTGTGTGGATCATAACAAATTATGGATAACACTGTGAAGAATGGGAATTCCAGAACACTTAATTGTGCTCGTGAGGAACCTGTACATAGATCAAGAGGCAGTCGTTCCAACAGAGCAAGGGGATACTGCATGGTTTAAAGTCAGGAAAGGTGTGCATCAGGATTGTATCTTTTCACCATACTTATCCAATCTGCATGCTGAGCAAATAATCCGAGAAGCTGGACTCTATAAAGAAGAATGAGGCATCAAGACTGGAGGAAGACTCATTAACAATCTGCGTTATACAGATGACACAACCTTGCTTGCTGAAAGTGAAGAGGACTTGAAGCACTTACTGATGAAGATCAAAGACTACAGCCTTCAGTATGGGTTACACCTCAACATAAAACAAAAATCCTCACAACTCGACCAATAAGCAACATTATGATAAATGAAGATTAAAGTTGTCAAGGATTTTACTTCACTTGGATCCACACCCATGGAAGCAACAGTCAAGAAATCAAAAGATGCAGTGCACTGGGCAAATCTGTTGCAAAAGACCTTTAAAGTGCTGACAAGCAAAGATGTCACCTTGAAGACTAAGGTGCACCTGATCCAAGCCATGGTGTTTTCAATTGCCTTATATGCATGCGAAAACTGGACTATGAATAAGGAAGACTGAAGAACTGACGCCTTTGAAATGTGGTGTTGGCGAAGAATATTGAATACACCATGCACTGCTAGAAGAACGAACAAATCGGTCTTGGAAGAAGTTAAAACCAGAATGCTCCTTAGAAGCAAGGATGGGGAGACTACATCTCACGTACTTTGAACATGTTATCAGGAGAGATCAGTCCCTGGAGAAGGACATCATGCTTGGTAAGCAAAAAAGAGGAAGACCCTCAATGAGATAGACTGACACAGTGGCTGCAACAATGGGCTCAAGCATAACAACAATTGTAAGGATGGCGCAGGACCAGGCAGTGTTTCGTTCTGTTGTACACAGGGTCGCTATGAGTCAGAACCGTCTCGACAGCATTTAACAACAACACTGTATCTCCAGTTCTTCTGACCCACAGTTTCCCAGGCTGCTGTACAGCTGCTGTCTTAGTATCTCCACATCATTCTGGAAATTCCATTTCCTAGATCATATGTCCTCAGCTATCTTGCTTTAGTCATCATTTACGTGAAGCTTCAGCAGTTACTTCCTGAAAAAACTGTGAGGGAAATACTTTTGAGACCTTACATATATGAAATGTCTCTATTCTGTCCTCACATGAGCAGTTTGAGTAGGCACAGATGTCCTCCTTTAGAATTTCTAAGGCAATGTTGCACTGCCGTGTTGGTTCTAGCATTGCTGTGGAGTTGACCTATACCTGCATATTAACCCTTCCTCCCCACTTGAACATTTGAGGATTTTCTTTGTTCCCAGTGCTTCAGAGTTTTGTGTAGGTCTATTTTCATCCATGGTGCTAAAGAGTGAGGACAACTTTCTCAATCTGGCAACTTAGGCCCTTCAATTCTAGGAGTTCTCCATGGATTATTTCTGTATTTCCACGTCTATTTCTGTTTTATTTTTCAAAATTCCTAATATTTAGATCTTGGACTTCTTGGACTGGTCCTTTAATTTTCTTATCCTTTCTCTCTCATTTATCATTTTTTGTCTTGCTCTTTCGCAAAAGTTCAACTTTATCAACTAGCTGGTCTACTGAGTCTTATCATTTCTACTATTAGATTTTAAATTTCTGGGCTCCTTTTCTGTTCTAGAATATTTTTAACAGCACCCTCCACTGATGTCATAGGGTACTAGCTGTCATGGCTTTGACGCTAACGGCAGTACCTTTGACGTTTGTTTCCCTGCACAGTCCATTCCCTCCAAATTTTTTCTTTCTTTTTCAAGTCTGTGTTTTGTATTTGAGGTTTTACACAAATGTCTAGTGATCTTTAGCTGTCAACTCTTATTAAGAATGAGACACTAAGAACTGTCATTGAAAGCACTGTATCTGGGGGTAGAGACTGTCAGTCATGGTTTTTACTGTGGAGTAGGGTCTGGCTGGACCATTTTGCTGGAAAATTCTCAATATCACTATCTTGAGGTCTCTCTGCTAGTCAGATTACCCTCCTGAAGATTCTTCTAGAAGGGTTGTGATGGTTAAGGTTATGTGTCAACTTGGCTAGGCCATGATTCTCAATGGTTTGGCAGATAGTATGTAACCATCCTCCATTTTGGGACCTGATGTGATCAGCCAATAAGTTGAAAGGGGAGTTTCTTTGGGGGTGTGGGCTGCATCCAATATATACGAATGTTCCAGCAAAGCTCTCTCGATCGTACATTTGCCTCGTCAGCCTCTGACCCCCGGTTCTTGGGACGTGAGCAAGCAGCCTGCTGCCTGACCTGCAGATTTTAGATTTGCCAGCTCCCACAACCCTGTGAGCCAGCAGCCTGCCAAATGACCTGTAGAGTTTGGATTCATCAGCAGTCAGGAGAAACCTCCAGCCTGCTGCCTGACCCACAGATTTGGGGCTTGCCAGCTTCCACAACTGCTTGCGCCGTTTCTTTGAAATACATCTCTCTCTATAAATTTATATATATGCGTCACTGGGTTTGCTCCTCTAAAGAATCCAGCCTCAAGCGAGGGTATAAACCTAACTCTTCAAATTCTGGAAGCTGAAGAGGAGTAGGGAGTTTCTATATTCAGTGTACAAACTTTCACTTTATCTCCCTATTTGCAGTATGACTATACTCCCCTCAACGGCACCTGGTATTCCCTAGTACAGAGACTGTTTATCTTCTCTAGAGAATGAACCTCCAATATTTTTCCAAATTCTGCGAGAGGCAGTGCCCTGGCTGGAGAGAAAATGGGGGCAATCTGGGGTCTATCTACTTCTTAAAACAACTAATTTCAACTAATCTTTCTTTTTATGTCCATTTGTTACCCTTATTTCCAGGTGCACCTGGTATCTCCAATTCCTAAGGCTTTATATGTTGTTGCTGTTAGGCGCCACTGCAGAAGGAAACGTGGCCCAGTTCTGCGCCATCCTCACAACTGTTGCTATGTGTGAGCCTACAGCCACTGTGTCAGTTCATCTCCTTGAGGGTCTTCCTCTTTTTTGCCAACCCTCTGCTTTGCCAAGCATGATGTCCTTCTCCAGGGACTAGTCCCTCCTGATAACATGTCCAAAATATGTGAGATGAAGTCTTGCCACCCTTGCTTCTAAGGCGCATTCCTGTCAGTTTTTTGTACTGTGGTGGTTTGCGTGTTGCTGTGATGCTGGAAGCTATGCCACCAATACTTCAAATACCTGCAGGGTCACCCTTAGTGGACAGGCTTCAGTAGAGCTGAAGAGACTAAAAAACTAGAAAGAAGGACCTGGCGATCAACTTTTGAAAAAAAACTGGCCAGGGCAAACCTTATAGATAGCAGCGGTACATCGTCTGATATAGTGCCGGAAGATGAGCCCCTCGTGTTGGAAGGCACTCAAAAGATGACCGGGGAAGAGCTGCCGCCTGAAAGTAGAGTCAGCTTTAATGATGTGGTTGGAGTAGAGTAAAGCTTTCGGAAACTTGGCTGACGACACATGACTCAAAATGAGAAAAAACAGCTGCAAACATCCATTAGTGACTGGAACATGGAATGTGCGAAGTAAAGGCTTTATATACATTGTGTTATTTCTTAGCTCCCCCTTGCTGCTACTCAGAATGTAGCTTTCTAGGTTCTCCTAAGTCAGGTATTACTCCTCCATCTGCATTCCTATTTCTAAAATATTGTTCTTAGCCCTTCTCCCCCGCTTCTTTCTGTCTCTGTGGATAAATGTGTGTATTTAATTCCTTTACTTAATGCCTTGTTAGTCAGATTTTGGAAGGCAGCAGAGATAACTGCATGTGTTTAATCTGCCATCTTTATCAAGAAATCCAGGTGTCTTTTCTACTGGCAACAGAGGCCTTTCCACAAAGTTTCAGAATAATGTAAAGTCAAAGCTTGAATCTACTTCTCTCTTCAGGCTTGAAGATGCTTTTCTTTACCTCACACAGTCAAATCCCATAGCCAATTAAGTTGGGTGAAATTGTCAAATAGATAACCATATAGAAATAAACAGGCCTAAAGTGAAACGAGGTATCATAATATATATTTTTAAACACAACAAAACAATAACAACAAAAGAGATACATGAAATTATATCTTCTTAATAGTTACCTGTCATGTTCAAACACTTTCTGCAAGCCCCCAAAGCATTTGTTGCTGGAAATCTGTTTCAATGCCATTCTTTACCTATTAGTAAAGATTAATCTCATTAATTTATAGAGAATTAGTCCCCAAAACACTTGAAACAACTGTTTTCTGATAAATTATCTGAACATACAACTGTTTTCCAACTAGAATTTTTTTTCACATGCTATTTTTCTCTAGTAAACAACATTAAGAAACTGACTAACTTACACACATATACGTAACGCTTGTGACCTTCTTTAAGAAAACGTCAGTACTTTGGCATGTCATTACTAGTTTATTAATGAGCTGTCTGTTGTTGGGGACTGCCCCAAATTCTTTTTATAAGGAGGCAGAATATAAGTAAATTAAGCTACTTATTACTTATTGATTACCTTAGCTTACAAGATTAAAAACTGTTTAACAGTCTAAGTGTCAAGTGCAACAACAACAACAAAAAAAATCAAGAAGTTGGTCTGACTGATTACGACTGATTTTTAAATGGAAGGAAAATGATAAAGGCTTAATAATAACTGTGATGATAACAACAGATAACATTTATTGAACACTTATAGGGTGAAAGACACTTTTTTTAGATGCTAAACCAGGTCCAATTACTCATCCTAGGAGAGTTGCTGAAGAGAAAGTGATGCAAAAGTTTTACATCAACATTTCTACTTAAAAAAAAAGAAAAAAAGTAAAACATAAGCCCGTTACAAGTGAATTAAATGCATAGCCTGTCATCAGGATATTCTGCAGTTTGGTAATTAACTTTTCTCTCCAACAAGACTTTTTAATTTTCATATAAAATAGTTTTAAACTTACATGTTAAAATACCACATATTCTTACTGCTAATAATACAGGAAAAAACTGGGGAACCATCTTCATGGTAACTGCCTGCTGCATGAGGGGAAGCCAGATTGATTCTGATGTGTACCTGTCAAGGCAGGAGTCCCTTCCCATCCCCAGAAGCACTGCATTACAATATAAAGCAGTAAAGTGTACACACTAAACAAAAAGCTACAGATTCCAGGAGCAGGTACAGTGGTCTACTCAGTGAAATGTACTGCTGTATGCCCATCAGATGAAGCTTTACAATTACTCTAACAAAGATATGTCACAATAATCTTAAAAAGCTAATTTTGGGTATGTCTTTGCAGAGTTCTAAACGAGATTAGTTTTAATCCCACTTTTAGGTGGTGTTCTCAAGAAATTCAAGTATTTAGCTTTACACTGGAAAACCAGGATTTGGAAACCAGGAATCCGACATCAGAACGCCTATTCTTAGCTACTATGGTTTTTTTTTTTTTTTTTTAAGGGAGGTAGGAAAGCACAGTAGCTAAGAACAGGGGTTCTGATGTATGACTTCCTGGATTCAAATCTTAGTTTTCCAGGCCTTTCTTCTGAGGCACCTCTGAGTAGACTCGAACCTCCAGCCTTTCAGTTAGCAGCCAAGTGTGTTAACTGTCTGCACCACCCAGGGACTCTATTAGTACTTCAAAAATTGTGATCCCAGTCCCCACATGGACATTAAACCTGTTGCTGTTGAGTCGACTCCGACTCATAGCGACCCTATAGGACACAGTAGAACCTATAGGTTTCCAAGGCTATAACCTCTACAGAAGCAGAGTGCCACATCTTTTTTCTGTGGAGCAGGTGGGGAGCATGGATTGCCAACCTTTTCAGTTAGCAGCAGAGCACTTAATCCCTGCCTCCACAGAGGGTCTTTAAATATTTTTTAAGATACTCCAAGATTTGTTTTAAGGTATTAAATTACACACAGAGAAATTACTCTCTGTTCACAGGTTTATGCTTTTAATCTACAAAAGATTAATTCTTAAACAAGCTGTTTCACAAGATATTAATTATTGAATATTAACATCAGTCATTCTTATTTATGATCGATCTTAAATCAACAATGAGCTTACAAAGATGGACACTATGTAAGTTTAATATACATATATGAGACAAAGGAATAGAATTTTTATTTGCTTAATTATTCTACAAGGAAATCCTCTTTTATTAAACCTCCAAACCCACTGCCGTCAAGTCGATTCCAACTCACAGTGACCCTATAGGACAGAGCAGAACTGCCCCATAGGGTTTCCTAGGTTGTAATCTTTACGGAAGCTGACTGCTGTATCTTTCTCTCGTGGAGCAGCTGGTAGGTTAGAATCGCCACTCTTTGGGTTAGCAGCTGAACGAGCATATACCTAGTACATTTAAGGTACCTAATAATTATTTGTTGAATTACTGAATAATTTATTGTTTTACACTTCTGACATACCACTTTGTACAAGTTTTAAAAATTAAGTCTGTCCTTTACTTCTATCATTTTACACTGTTATCTATTTATTTTAATATACCACAACTAGTCTATTCTCTTCAATCTTTGAATGTTCTTTAATTAAAATTCAAAACCACATACTTCTCACGTAGCCAAGGAAAAAGGTTAAAATACTTTTTTTTTAAACTGATAGAATGCCTTAAAAAAAGTCTTTAAAAGTTTTTTTTAACTATTCATTTTAGAAACTATCTTCAACTACAACTCAAGAAAAAAGTTAGATTTAATTAAAAAAAGACAATCTAAAAATTAGTTATGATATACTAGCAAGGTTACATTTTTCAATAAATGTATTCTATGTGAAAAATGTTTTAAACCAAGTTATTAGATTTTTCATTCAACTTTCAGAGTAATACATAAACTATAAAACTTAAATTTAGCTGTTCAATTGCTACTTGTTTTTTTTCTCTGCACCAAATGGTAGATGATCCTGAAAAAAATACCAGTTTACAAATGGGATATACTTTTTATAACAAAGGTTATATGGAGGATGGCACAAGACCTGCAATATTCCTTTTGGTTATATATAAGGTCGCTAGTTTGAACCGACTCAAGGGCACCTAGCAACAAGGGACACTTATACGTTCTCAACAGAGACGTTTTCTTCTTTTGAGGTAAGTAGCTGACTACCTACCCAGGATGTGGCAGCATGGACCATGCAGCTGATCAGTCAGCACCGCCACTTCACCTCAGCTCTGAACCTAACTGCCTTAATACCAAGTTTGCCACAAGGCCTGGTGACTGGTCAACAACCTTTGCTGGGGTAAGAGTTCTGAACTTTTTTTTTCTTTTTAAATAAATAAAAAAGTTTCAAAGTGCAATTTGGAAGTACGAGCTGTGGTCAATACTGAGAGTGAAGAAAACAGAGGGGGGACTTGGAAAACTGAGGAGGATAAAAAGCCTCAAACCCTTCCGGGGCTACAAAAGGACAAACTGGTTAGAGTTGACCGAGCTTATGAATTCTGGTGAAGTGACAGATACACAGGACAAGGGGGAAAAATATATACAGAAACTCACATAGCACACAACTATGTGCCATTTGTCTGATAAATGTGTTTCTTGTAGGTTCTGGAACAGATTCTGTGGGAGTAATGATGTGATAACCAAACCAAAACCAAACCCACTGCCGTCGAGTCGATTCCGACTTACAGTGATCCTAGGGGACAGAGTAGAACTGCCCCATAGGGTTTCCAAGGAGCGCCTGGTGGATTCAAACTGCCGACCTTTTGGTTAGCAGCCGTAGCTCTTAACCACTACACCACCAGGGTTTCCAATGATGAGACAGAGTGGGATAAAGTACCAAAAAACAAAACACCCCCCCAAAAAAACCAAAAATAAAAAATCAATTCTATAGTGCCTGTGGGAGTTATACAATTATCCCAGAAAGTTAGTGAACATCAATATTCTTTGAAGAAATGTACTCTAGTGCATGCCATACCAATCAGGCAAAAACCATTAAAGAAAGCCATCAAATCTGCCCGACTCATGGGGGTCCCAGGCACAATGGGATCAGATTGTTGTGATCCACAGGCCTTTCTTCTTAGTCTGTTTTGGTCTGGAAGCTCCCCTGAAACCTGTTCAGCATCACAGTAACAACTAAGCCTCACTAACAGACAGGTGGTGGCTGCACATGAGATGCACTTGCCAGTAACTGAACCTGGGTCTCCTGCATGGAAGGCAAGAATTCTACCAGTGAACTACCACTGCCCTTGTTAAAGGAAGGAAGTTGCCTTTATTCATAAAGTATCTAGCCCAAATGGTCAAATCTTAACTCTTCTCCCTTTTACTTACTGAAGCTAAGTGTCATCCAGAGCTAGAAATCTGTATTCTTTGTATTTTTACCCATTCTTTTCTTCTTCCTACGAATCTGTTTTCTATATTCCTGTTTTTTGTTTCCATTCTCTCAGACTCCTTGGACCTTGATCCATTTCTTCATTTTCTTCGTGATTCTTTTCCTCATTTTCAGTGTCTCCTGCTCCACTGGTTCTTAGTAACTACAGAGGTCTCCCAATATCACTGGATTGTAAGCAAAGCATTCTGCACTGCTGACCATCACTTTGTTCAAATCCTCTCCTCAGTGCAAACTCATGATCTGGGTTCTTCCACTCTTTCTTTCTCCTCCCATCCTTTTCCTTTTCTTTTCACACATCCTCCAGCTCCGACCCCCATTTCTAAGTTTCAACTATATTTTCTGGGTAGAAGAATCTAAACCTGCATCTCTAGACCCAAATTTTTCTAAGCATTTGTTTCAGAATTTAAATTTCTTGCTGAACACGTTTACCAAGATACACCGCCAGCTAGTAAAATTGAACACACCTAAAATTAAGCTTATACAGCCAACCTTCAAACCAACTCCTTTTCCTATCTGTTTACCTCCTTTTCACCCATGCCTGTCCTGCCCAATCTACCACTTGCAATGTCTGAAATCTACCCCTCCTTTGAATTTCCACTGCCACTACTTCAATTACAGCTAGGAAATTAAAACTTATTCTACTTTTTTTCCTTCCAGTATGTCCTACTACAATTAATCCTGCATGGAAACCCATGGCTTTAATCCAGTTAACTTTCTCATCAATAGAACCCTGCAGACAGGGAAATGTTAGTCATTTCTAGCACACATTATTATTAGCTGCTGTCCAGCTCATGGAGACCCCATGCACAAGGTACCGAAATGCTGCCTGGTCTTGCACTATCTCCATGATTGGCTGTGGACTGGACCATTGTGATTCACAGGGTTTTCACTGGCTGATTTTCGGAAGCAGAACACCAGGCCTTTCTTCCTGGTACATCTTAGTCTAGGTCCACTGAAACTTGTTCAGCAGCATAGGAACATGAAAGCCTCCAATGACAGACGGGTGGTGGCTGTGCATGAGGTGCACTGGCCAGGAATTGAACTTGGGTCTTCCACGTGGAAGGCAATAATTCTACCCGTGAACTAGCAAATGAGAAACACCTGACTACCTCCTGACTGCTACAGGTGTAGAGAGTTAATCTCACTTAGGAGTCAGGCTAGTAGTTGAGAACCAATAAGTCACTGAAATTGAAGATGAATGTAATTACATAATTTTCCTCAAGTTTTGATGCCATTACAATTTCATAAAATTAAAACTGAAGGATTACTGTCAAAAAGAAAAATAAGGATGAATAAAACTCCACATATACTTTGGTCAAATTTTATTTGTGTATTAAGCATAATCTCTTTTCATTCATAAAAAATTCACACCGCTTGTCCTCATATGAATAATCTACTCTGGGGAAAAAAAAATACAACATCCATGAACTCCGAAGACCTTAATTTGGTCTTAAAATTGTCCTCAACCACACTATTTTTTCTGATCTAATCTCATTCTCTATTATCTTCTTTTAGTCAAATCTGATTCATGTATAATTCTAAAAAGTCCTGAAGGTTTGTACTGGGAGGTTTTTACTCAATGGCGTGACATACCGGTTTAGCGCAGCCTGGGTAGCCAGACCCTCTAGGTTCAGATTCAGGCTTCACCACTTACTATTACATGACTTTGCGCAAGCCGCTTAATCTCTCATTTCTGGCATCTGTAAAATGGGGTCATAATACTATCAATTTCAAAAGGTAGTTCCGGAGATTAAATGAATTAATTCACATAGTGCTTAGGACGCTGCTTGCTCTGATGTGCACACAAATGTTAGCTATTGTTATTCCTGCAGCCTGGAATGTCCTCCTTTAAGGTCTGCTCCAAGAGAAATAAACTTGGGACTTCTACAGAACTCTGAGGGTATTACAACACAGACTTTCCTGAACTCCAAAGCTCGCAAACGCTTCGCCGGGCAGGCTGGTTCCCGGGCCCTCGGGTGCGAGCGCTCCTGACCTTGGCCCGGGCAGGCCGCTCCGAGGCGCAGCGGCCGGTTGTCTCCTCGCCCGGCCGCGCACCCTGCACCCCTGAACCACGGGAGATGAGACCCCCGTAGGGCCTTATAACACTTTGAAGCCTCGGATTCCTCAATAAATTGGGGTGAAATGGTTACTTCACGCGGCGGGCATCGGGTCTAAAGTGCAGGAAGTCTTCGGAAAACGGAAAGAACTTTGCAAACCGGAAGCTTCCCCTCGGATGTTGCACGCCCGGGAGCCCCCGCACGGCCGGATTACCCAATAAGCAAGGTTCGCAGGGGCCCGACTGTGCCTTCCACCAATCTACGGTGCACGGTACACCCTCCCCCGCGTCAGAGATGTGGTGAAACCGTGTGAAATCGCTCACCACAGATTAGCAAGTAAATACACTTAAGCCGGTGCGCACCGTGCTTACCGGCTAATCCGCTCCTGGTCCCGGGCTGCAGTTCTTGGAAGCGGGGTGAAGGAAAAGGGACTTAGGCTGAGACGTCAAGCTCGGAGCCAGGTCCCAGGCCTCGCACCGCAGGCCGCAGCCTCCGCCACAGATGGGAGCCTGGGCTACCGTCTCGGCGCTGGCGCGGCAGGACTCTCTAGCAGCACCCGCCCCGACCTGGCTCCGCCGCGTCGCGGGTGCAGCCCGAGGCCCAGGCTGGCGGAGACCACCGAGCCTTTGCCCGGACCCAGTCTTACCTCGGGTGGCAGCAGGGACAGGAGCAGCCACAAGGGGGGGGGGCGGGGTCTTAACATGGCCGCTGGTGCCACCACCTTGACCCCGCCCCCTGGGCCCACCCTTAGCTCCGCCCCCCTCCGCCGGCCTCGCCCCGCCGGTTCTGCTCTCTGTCCTCCTGGCGCTGCTCTGGAGAACCAACGTTGCAGGCGTCTCCTCTTCGTCGTCCTCCTTCTCCTGGGGCATATGCTCCTCTCCTGGCTATTTAAGAATCAACAGGAAGAGCAAGCGTTTGGAGTTAGACTCTATTCCCCTTCAAGAAGCATCCAGCCGCGTGTGCCCAGCTTCTTTCCTGAGGCAGCTAGAAAAGGTGGATCCCTGAATAAACCTGAGGTTTGAACAAGCTTAATTCACGGAAAGGGTTTCCGAGTAACTCCTTGAAGTTATTTAGAAACCAGGGCATCATTTCAAGTTTCGCCACCAACCTCCAAACATCTTTTCAATACATCTACTTGGTAGCTATGTCCCTCGGTGACACAAATGGTTTTTGCTCCACTCTTAACCTAAAGGTTGGCTGTTCAAACCCACCCAGCTATACCACGGAAGAAAGACCTGGTGGCCTGCTTCCATAAAGATTACAGCCAAGAAAACCCTATGGAGCAGTTCTACTCTCTAACACATGGGGTTGCAATGAGTCAGGATTAACTCTATCGCAAAGGTTTTGCTTGATATCTGGGGTTAAACAAGGCTCATTTTGGTATCTCCAGTGCCAGACACAGAGTGGGAGCTCCATCAGTGTGCTTCTTTCTCGTTTCTTCCATCAAAAAAGGCTAGTTCAACTGAGGAAGAGGTGCTGGTTGCTGATTTACCACAAATCTTCCCTTTACATTTATTTGCTTTTCTGATTTAATCAAACTTGAGAAAATTAAACCTGATTATAATAGAGCTTATAAAAATTTTTTAACCAACAATTAGACTGATGGAAATTGCAAGTATTGGGGATATATGCCATTTAAACATGGTTGCACTATTGATAACTGCAGCCCCCACAGGCCTCTATGCTGCACAGCATGTTGAGACTTGTCCCCAACATGTTGAGACTTGTCCCCAACATGTTGAGACTTGTCACGACTTGTTTTCCCAAACCTCTTGTCCCTTTACTGATTGGCTTGTTTACCTGAATTCCTTCTCCCTTGCCCGCACCCAAAGCCCATTGTTCTGTTATTTGCTTCACTGCTTGCTGTATTGACTATAAATAAACTCCTGGGACTGAAGCTGGGGTCGACTCCTCAGAGTGACCCTCCTGGCCCCACTTCTCTGTAAGAGTTGTGTTTGGTTACTGTCTCCGCTGTCCCGACAACCGTCGTCACTGCGACACAAGTACTGTACATAATCTGAAAGGCAAAGCTAGCTGGGGTTAAACAAGGGTCATTTTGGTATCTCCAGTATCAGACACAGAGTGGGAGTGCCATCAGTGTGCTGCTTTTTACCTTGGGCATGCAACCTGTGCAGTCCCCGACTCTGAAGGAGTTAATTCTCAGCTTGCTTTAATTCTCTGCTGTGCTGTCTTGAATTTCTGAATAATTTTTGAACATGGAGTCCCACGTTTTCAATTTACACCATTATTGATGCTGTTACGTGTTGTCAGTGTTGACTCTGACTCATGGTTACCTTATATATGTATAACAAAATGAAACGTTGCCCTGTCATATGCCATCTTTATGATTGTTGGTATGCTTGAGTCCATTTTTGCACCTATTGTGTCAATCCATCACCTTGAGTGTTTCCCTCATTTTTTTGGCCCTACCAAGCATGATGTCCTTCTCCAGGGACTGATCCCTCCTGATAACATGTCCAAGTATGAGAGAAGAAGTCTCACCATCTTTGCTTCAGATGAGCGTTCTGGCTGTACTTCTTCCAAGACAGATGTGTTCATTCTGCTGGCAGTCCATGGTGCATTCAATATTCTTCACCAACACAATTCCAAGGCATCAATTCTTCTTTGATCTTCCTTATTCATTGTCCAGCTTTCACATGCATATGAGGTGATTGAAAACACTATGGCTTGGGTCAGCAGCACCTTAGTCCTTAAAGTGACATCTTCGCTTTTTAACACTTGAAAGAGATATTTTGCAGCAGATTTGCCCAATGCAATGTGTCCTTTGATTTTTTTTTTTTTTTTGTGAATGGTTCTTTATTTAGTCATTTTTGTTTACAACTGAAACTCTGGGAATTCAAAATTAACATCCTTGCCCGTGAGCTTCTTATACACACCAGAAAAAGTTTCAGCCTTGTGTTCCACATTGTTCTGCTGTGCTTTGTCCAAATGAACTTTTATAAGCTGGCTGCCATCCAGTTTTACACAGATTCTCTTGCCCACAATTTCACTTGGGAAGACCAAGTCTTCAAGGATTGCATCGTGCATGGCTGTCACAGTACGGCTCCTGGGACACTTTTGCTTATTTTTTGTACGACTTTTTCGAGTTGGTTTAGGCAGAATTCTCCTTTGAGCAATAAAGACAACGTGCTTTCTGCTGAACTTTTTCTCCAGTTCATGTACTAGCCTGACTTGGATTTTCTGGAAAGACTTCAGTTGAGGAATGGAAACAAAGATTATGATAGCTTTCCAACCACCACCAACTTCAGTTTCCTTGGCTGTGGTTATATTCAGCTCTCTCAACTGAGCCTTTAGGTCCAAGTTCATCTCCAGTTCAGGCAGTGCTTGAGAAATGCCAGACTCGAATGCATCTGGCTTTTCGCTGTTGGGCTTCACAAGCTTCGCACTTGAACTGAACACAGCCTTTTCCTTGCTGAGGGCCGGCCTCATTTGATTTTTTGACATCTGCTTCCATGGGCGTTGATTGTGGATCCAAGTAAAATGAAATCCTTGACAACGTCAATATTTTCTCCGTTTATCATGATGCTGCTTATTGGTCCAGTTGTGAGGAATTTTGTTTTCTTTATGTTGAGGTGAAAATTAGCCAGTGAAAACCCTGTGAACCACAACAGTCTTACCCACAACTGATTATGAGGATGGCACAGGACCGGGCAGAGTTTCCTTCTGTTGTGCATGGGGTCACCATGAGACAGTGGGCCAAGCTGATAGCAGTTAACAACAACAACATACGTTCATTTATAGAATATGAGCATAAACTGTTTTTCTTTTTTTAGGAAATAAAAGCTTAGCTGTTAAATGGTTAAAAGTTTTCACAGATTATGAAATTGACACTTAAAAAAATATCTTTCTTGAATTATTCAACAAAGCTGGAGGCAAACATCCTTGGTTAAATTGCTAACCTTATTTTCTTGTGCTTTTTTCAATTGTGAATTTGTTTTTGAATTTCTTAGTTTAACTGATTTTCTTTAAGACACAGGTACTCAGAGTTTATTCATAGAAACATTTTTCTTAAGTTTACATACTGGTTTATGTCATTACACAACGTTGTTTTAAGGTTTTGAAATAAAGAACTTTGTCTTTTTAATTTAGAGGTATTGAATATCTGGTTCATACATTAAATCATAAAAACAGATTTTTTTTCTTTAAAGAGGAAGGTTGTGTTGTATTTATCTGTTGCTTTTCTGTGTAACAAACCACCTTAAAATTTAATGGTTTAAAATAGTAATGTATTTGTTATGGATTGAATTGTACTGCCCAAAAAGTTACGTTGAAGTCCTGACCCCAAACCTGTAAATGTGATCCTGTTTGAAAAAAGGGGTTTTCTTTTGTTATGTTAATGACGCCATATCTGAATAGGGTGGGTCCTAAACCAAATCACTTCTGATTATAAAAAGAGCAAAATAGACGCAGAGACACACCCATGGGGCAAGACAGACACCATGGCACCATGGAGACAGATGAATCTCCAAGTGAAAGAATGCTGAGGATTGCTGGAGGCTACTAGAAGCTGAAAGAGACAAAGAAGGACCTTCCCCTAGAGCCAGTGCTCTGAATTCAGACTTCTGTCCTCCTGAACTGTGAGAAAATAAATTTCTGCTCTTTAAAGCCACCCACTTGTGCTATTTTTTGTTATGGCAGCAGCAGTAGGCAGTACTGGGCTGGACAAACTGAGCTGGGTAATTCTCACTTGGGGTCCCTTTGACAGTTATATTCAGATGGCTGCTGAGGCTGGGATTGCTGCAGGCTTCTTCATTCACTTCCTGGGGCCTGGGCTGGGATGGCTGGAACAGCTGGCAGCAGGCTGAGCATCTCTCCTCTGTGTGGCCTTTCCATGGGACTAGCTTGGACTTTCTCACAGCATGGTGGTCCCAGGGTAGTTGCACTTCTTAGATTGTGGCTGGCTTCGCCTGAAGCAAGCATTGAAATCAAGAAGTCCAGGCAGAATCTCCAAGAATTCTTACGACATAGCCTTGGAAATCCCCAAATGTCACTTCTGCCACATTCTATTGCTCAAGCAAATCACTAAGGCCAAGATTCAAGGGGAGTGAAGGAATGACGTCTGTGTGCTGAGAGGGAAGGAATTATCGGCAGCCATTCTTGAGACCAACTACTGAAGGGCGCTTTGATTTTTGAGCAAGGGCAGTACTATATCCTTTATGGGTAATTTGGAAGAGCAAGAAAGTAGATTTTAAGTAAGCTGGATTCCCTCTGCAGTTCTTCACAACAGTGGTGCTGGTGGCAGGAGGACAGCTTTCACTCATTCCATGCTGCTCATGCATGGGGCTCTCTGTTAAGCTGACCACCAGCTGAAAAGTATGAGACATATCCCTGAATACATCATCACTATGGCAGAATGCTGGGATTCCTGGGTAGTGCAAACAGTTAACGCCGTTGGCTACTAAAGGAAAGGTTGGCAGTGCAAGTCCACCTGGATGTGCCTTGGAAGAAACGCCTTGTGATCTACTTCCAAAAAATCAGCTATTGAAAACCGTGTGGAACACGTTCTACTCTGACACGCATGGGGTCACCATGAGTCAGGGTCAACTCCACGCTTCCTAGTATGACAGGATTCTAGGATTTAATGGACTGAACCAGAAAACTATGACCCCAGTGTAGTTAAAATAAGTCA